ACCTCTAGTTCGAATCTGTGAAAATAGATTTTCTAAAGAATCCTGATTTACTTTACATGTTAAGATATAATGGTATTTAGGAAATTTTGAACTAAGGTCGAAAAATAAATCTTTAATAGATTTAATAGATATAAGCATTCCTTTTTGAAATGTTTGAAGTGATTTTTTAGATACACATCTCATACTTTCAATTATTCTGTAAGTATTATCAAGTATATTATTTTGTTCTGTTATGTTAATGCCATAAGCACATTTGGAGGGATAATCAATTTTGTAATGAAAATTGGGTGTTGAACTATTCATAACATCAAACCATGCATTAATTGATGATATAAATTCAGAAGCTGCTAAGGCATTTTCAGTTTTAATATATCTTTTAATAGCAACAGCTGTAGAATTAGAAAATAATTCACAAGCTAACCTAACATTTTGTTGTTGAAATTTCTGACATGTAATATGCTCTTCTTTTAATTTATGGCAAACTTTTATTTCATTGGAATCTATTTGAAGTAACTGTTGTAATGAGTTGTTTATTAATGTATGATCTGAAGTTAGAAAACCTGTATCTAAAAACCAATTTCTAATGAGTTTTAACAAATGAGGTGCATCTTGAAAATAGTATATATTATTTCCATTAGATGGATGTATAAATTTAGTATTGAATATATTTATCCCTAATTCTTTCCATAATCCTATATTTTGTCCACCGCAGTCACTAACAACAGCAACAACAGTATATCCTGCATCAAAAAGTTTTGAAATAACAGTAAATAAAAGTTGTTTTTTCATTTTAACATCAAAATCCATTTAAACTGATTGTTTCCATGATGCAAATAGTCCTCTTGCCATCATTACTAAAACTTGATTATTGGGTCCAATAACTTTATCATATTCATATATACACTTTACCTGAAATATCAGTAAAATGTTAAACCAGAAAATTAAAATAATTATTGAATTATGTGGTTTTATCAATATGAGTACAGTATATACAGTATTTACCTTCATCTGATTAAACTGAAGAACTAAGTTTTTCTTCTGAAAGTTCAAAGCCTTTAATTTTCATGATGTTTATAACATCATTTAATATGCCTTGACAAAGATTTATTTTTGAAGCCCGTCGTTGAAGTGTCGAAACTGCAGGTAACAGGATATTCATTTGATTTCTTAAGTATAAATATGACTTTATGCTTAAATATCTCAAAGTAAATGCCAAAATTCATATTTTCTTTATTCCATTTAATTTTCTTTTTTCCCTCCAGCAGATTATATATTATATACCTGTAAAGGTACCTTTCAATATTGATATAACAAAATCTTTTTTATTTTTTTCAATTTTTCATTTTCTTTTTGAATGATGACAGTTTTACTTTTCCAAAATTTCAGATTTCTTTGGACTGCTTGCATTCTTAACTCAATATGTTTAATCTTCATATTTAAAATAGAATTTTCATGTTTTAATTTAAAATTAAGATTTTCTAAAGTTTTACAATTGTTACATTTGTTATGAGATTCTTCTCGTTTATCCTGTTTATTTACATCTAAAAGTTTTTCTATCAGGTTTTTTCTATTTCTTTTTAATACACGATTCTTTCTTTCATTTGACTGCTTAATATTTTTATTTTCTATGTTTCCTAAATTTACTGTTGGTATTGAAGTTTTCTTTAGTTTAGGTCTTGTCAATAAACCTAATAATTCAGCTTTTAAATTTCTCTCAAAATCATTTTCTGTGAAATGATCAGAGCAAACATGACAAGAATCAGGATTAAATTTGTCTTTTCTTTTACAGTTATGGATCCATTTTCTTCTTATTATTGGATCTTTAGGAAATCTAAAATAACTGACTTTCCTGTCTAATGACTTTGTTTTACAATGGCTGTTATCACAATTTGCAACAGCACACGTTGCTCCTGGCATCTAAAAATAATAAAATTTAGGTATTTGCGTAAATATGCATATTTTAAAAAGTTATATTAATTAATAATAAACAATATTCTTTTACATCTCAAGTTATCTTAAAAGTGTTACCATTCTGTTACGGGCCAGCTTATTATTTGTAGTCGTCATTTCATTGAGCAGATACTATTTTTATACATGCAGAAAACTATTCTTAGTATTTTAAAGTATTTTATTAATAAATATATTTTATCCGTAACCATATTCTGTAATTTCTACAGAACGAAGAGTAAAGACTACAACAGAATATCAAACTGTTCTAGGAACACCTTTGTTAATTCCGAACAATTTTTATCGATATAATTATCAACATAATTATGCTTAATAATAGTAATAACTAAGATATATTTACCTTCGAAGATTATGAGTCTAAAAACGCTCAACAAATTAAAAAAAAATAGTTAAATTCCAAAATTTCCTTCCCTCACTTACAGTAGTGAAGCAGTAGCTAGACCACTGCTCGACTATGAATGACGTATATCCGGAATCTAGGCAGGAACTGGCTGTATGAGGCAACCTTATATTCTAAGACCTTGAATTAGACTGCAGTCACATTAGAATAGGTCGATAGGCTTAGTGGAGAGAATGACGCGATTCGTCGATACCGATCGCCTACGTCATTTCCGGCGATCGTAATATCGGGCCATATCGTAGAGAGTCGTACATAGGGGTATGGGTCGTTTGACTTTTTTGTTCGCACGGAGGGGGTCTTCAATTCGGGGTGGGTCGCCGACCGTTCATTCGCAGGGTAAATTGTGGCTAACAGGCGGTCACGTGACCCGTAGGACAATTTATATCTCGCGAAAGGTCGCGCGTAGGGGGGTTCATTAGACATTTATTGTTCGCATGGGGGCTACCCCTTGGGAGGGTGGCGACCCGCTCATTCGGAGAGTAAATCTTACCAGGTAAATAAACAAATTAAACTATTTTAAAGTATTTATAGAATGTTTAATAGGTAGAAATTAGATCCGTATGACGCGATTGGGACGTTAAGATTTATCCTCCGAATGAAGGGGTGGCGACCCCTCCCCCTCTGGGCGAACAATAATGTCTGATGAACCACACTCCTATGCGCGACCCTTCCTGAGATATCACGCGGAAGATCGCGCGTAGGGATATCATTCCTTTGACTTTATTGTTCGCACAGGGGGGCTACAGTTTGGGGGGTCGCCACCCCTTCATTCGGAGGGTAAATCTTACCATTGGGACTTTAACGGAGCAGTACAGCATATTGATAGGAACAAAAAAGTCAAATGAATTTGCCTCATGGAAATTTGTAAAGAACGCCGACTATGGGGCGGCCCGGGCTACTAGTATAATTTATAACTGATTTATATACGTATATAAATTATAATCGTATAAGTTAATGTTAATTCGTAAGTTATTTCTTATTTTAATTATTATCATCATCAATAACAATGTGACAATTATATACGTTTTCCTATATATGTGGAAAAGTAATAATCAATTATAAAATAAATTTTATTGACTTTTAACAATAAAATCTGCTTTCATACTCTTTGTCATACACCAGTAACCTAAATAGTAAAAGTAAAATGATTTATATTATTGTTTGTTGATAGATGGCGCAAAGAGGCATTGGTTGAGCATACATTTCAATATAACATTATTTTACTTAAGAAAGAGTTAAGAGTGAGCTTCTTAAAAAATTCAACGGAAAAACAGGTTGGAAAATATAAAATGTTTAATTATTGAACAATCGATTGTTTACTGAAAGAAATAAAGATACTTTAATCTACTAACACCAGTAATAGGGTTGCGTTTCGTGAATAAGGGCGAGACGAGAAGGTGGTGGAGCATACTTACCTGGCGCCGGGGTCAGCCGTGGTCCCGATGGCGGCTCCCCCAGGGTGAGGCTTGACCATTGCACTTCGGTCTAGCTGACCCCTGCCACTACCCCAAACTGGGGCAGATGGGGCGTGTAATTTGTGGTAGCGGGGGACTGCGTTCGCGCTATCCCCCACCTAAACCAATAAAGATTAGATTTAATGTATATACTGTCTGACCTGACGTTTTCGTTTCGGTTCAGACCACACCTTCCTTTTGTTTTCAGGAAGGCGTGTGTGCCTATTTGGTGACTTGCCTTTCCTTCTTAGTGGCCATTGCGATAATTAACTACTGGTAAGATTGTATGTATTTGCGAGTTGCCATCTCGTACTGAATTAATTTCCAATTCCAAATTCATTTTTAAAATGTCTAAATTATAAATTAATATTCGCGATAAACTACATACAGTATTTTAATAAATTTGTCAAAACGGGAATATATGGTTTCATGTGATTAATTGCTTTGCCAATAAGATGATTTATAAAAATAGAAAATACTGTATCGAATTAACAACGATCAGCAATGCAAATTTTAATTTTTCGGCATAAAAGCATACTTAATTGTACAAATTTCTTCGAATAGCAGAAAAAAAAAAATAGAAATAATTATAAATTACATTTTTTGTGTTTCTAATTGTAATTATGGTAATTAGATAAATGTGATAATATTCGATTATTAATGCTAGTACTATGCCAAACGGTGTTCAGAATAGCAGAATTATTACTAACTTTGTAAGGAGCCGTCCATAAATGACGTCCACATGGGGAGGTTAACAGTAATATTGAGGTTGCAAACCTGCAATAAACATTCTCATTCGTTAAACTGTGATCACATGACATTAAAATGAATCACTGTACAGTACGGTTACAAAAAAGTACAAAACCTGTCATTCGTAACGAACAAATCATACAAACATCACTATTCTTTGTTATTTACGAGGGGAGAGCGCGAACGCAGTCCCCAGCTACCACAAATTACACGCCCCATCTGCCCCAGTTTGGGGTAGTGGCAGGGGTCAGCTAGACCCAAGTGCAATGGTCAAGCCTCACCCTGGGGGAGCCGCC